TCAACGACCCCTGTGTTCAGCATTGAATTTCCTTGCTGTTGAGTGGGGATTTGCGCTATACAAATGCTATCTATTATTATTATTATTATATGGTACAACCCTCAACTCGAAATGTTCAAAATTCAACTTTTGGTACCTTTCTTTTGGCACACACACATTTTCCTAATAAATGGGACAACTGTTTTCTTCTTATTTTGCCCATCTTTCTTGATTTTCTAATTTACGACATAAAGTTCTTAAATAAAGGGACAGTCCTTATCAATATCATAGTCTTTTTTTTCTATCCCTGTCTATCAACCCATCAGTCCATCACAAGCTCTCTCTCTCTCTCTCTGGCATTTTCTTTTTCTCCTTCGTTCCTTCCCTAGGCCCGCCCCAGCTCTTTCGTTCCTGCCAAATTTAATTTATTTCCCGAGTTTGAGAGTCCGTGGAAACTGAACATTGACATGTTTTGTGCCTTTAAACAGTGTTTTTTCCGTAAAATCCACACAGAAACTTAAAAGGTGTTGAGGCAAAAAACACAAATTCGATCAAAATTGCCAAACCTGCGGAAAATGAATGCCAGTTTTTTCACATCCACTATTTTGACGAGCGCCTGATTGCAGTACGCTCTTCACATGAGGTCTACAAAACCATCAACTATCAACATTTAAAAAAACTTGTACCTTTGTTTTGGAATTGAAACTACAGGTACCTTTTCTGAGCAATTCTATTACATCTGTACATTATACTATTCATTATTCATATCGATTTCCTTGTCAATTTTTTTTTTGGTGAATAACATCCGATAGTCCACGCTTTGCCAGATTTGCAAAAGCTGAATTTACATTGTTTTGCCTATATGATGTGAGTCAAAAGATTGAAAATATCACTTTGACAAAATATTACATGTATCAAAATTTATTTTAAGGGGATCCACTGCTCAGATCAGTAAAAATATTGACAAAAATATATATATATATATCATTTTTCGAATTTTGGAGTATCTTTAATTATAGTCTTTAGAAGCCTAATATATATTTATCAAACTTCTGCATTTGAGAGAGGTAGCGATGTAGGAAAATCTTCACACAAAATTACTCTTTGCAGTTTTCTCAGAATTGTTTTAACTGACCAGGTTGCAACCCTATTTTGAGCAGGTCTCAGAAAGTTACTGTCAGAATTTATTCAAATTTGCACAAAAAACTTTGCACGGCACTTCTGCAGGCCAGCGACCAAAGAAAAATTATTTTAAAAATCTTGACCCACTAATAAAAAAGTTGTTCTCTTTGGCCACTATATGTATATATATATGTATTCTTACAAATCTTACACCCATAAAAGGAACCGTCCTTATCAGATAGTCTTTTTTATTCTGTGCCTGTCTATCAACACGTCAGTCCATCACAAACTCTCTCTCTCTCTCTCTCTCTCTCATTTTTTTGTTCTCCTACGTCCCTTCCCCTGGCCCGTCCCAGCTCTTTCAATACAGCCAAAGTATATTTATTTCCTGAGCTTGAGAGTCCGTGGAAACTGAAAATTGACATGTTTTGTGCTTTTCAACAGTGCTTTTTAGTAAAATCATCACAGAAACGTTTTCTTTGATGAACATGAAAAGTGTTGAAGCAAAAAAACAAAAATTCGATAAAAATGGCCAAACCTGCGGGAAAATGCCAGTTTCTTCATTTTCACTATTTTGATGAGCGTCTGATTTCACTACTCTGCTTGTCATGATTTCTACAAAACCATCAACTGTTATTATTACTATTACTTACTATTAACATTTTAAAAAAGCTCATACCTTTGTTTTGGAATTGAAACTTTCTGTTCTTTTTCTAGGCAATTTTATAACGTTACATTGTACATTATAACTGATTTCCTTGTAAAATTTTTTTTTCGAGACTAACATCTGACATTCCACGCTTCTCCAGATTTGGAAAAGCTGAATTGACATTGTTCTGCCGAAAAGTAAATGATGTGAGTCAATAGGCTGAAAATATCACTTTGACAAAATATATTACAAATTACAGGTATCAAAATTTATTTTAAAAACAAATACTCATGAACTTGTTCGTTTTTTTGGTAGGCTTATTTTTCTTTTAGAAACTTCCCGCCTTTTACTTTATATAAATGTGTTTAAAAATTAATTAAAAAATAAATAAATGTTGACGCACTAATTTTTCCCCGTAGGAATCTACGGCGTCATTTAAAGGGCACTAATCTATAACAGTCTACACATCAATAGTTTACAGTTATTTCTCCTTGTTTAGCAAGAAAAGCTGAATATTCTTAGTTTAGAATCCAAAATCACCTACTGTAACTCAATTTGTAAGGCAATTATACAATTATAGTCCTCAATTCTGAAAAATTCAGTGCCTAATGTTATTTTTTATTTAATTAAGCAACGAAGTACAAAGTGACCACAAGCTAAACTGAAGTTTGGTACCTTGAAACTCGTTTAGTTTATAAAACTTAATGAAGGCACAGTTGTTTGAATGCATCCTTGAAAATATATTGTTGCCAAGACTATGCCACCGTTTGTATGTGTTTTTTTCCCCCTAGGGAATTACTGTGCAGATGTACACTAAGCATATCACTGATCAGATAGACAGGACCTGAAACAACCACAACATACTTTTTGTACTTGTACAGTACAACTATAGCTTGTTCCATTTCGTCTGACTGCAGTAAAAAAAAATTCTAGCTCATTGAGGAATTTACCTACGCCCACGAAACTTTGCATGATACTTCTGCAGGCCAGCAACCAAACAAAATTTTTTTTTCAAAAGAAGTAGACCTGGTAATAAAAAAGTTTTTCTCTTTGGGACCTGTATTACAAACCGCTCTTTGGATGCAATCACAGGATCACTAAAATAATAAATGACTTACACAGTAGTAACCTAGCCTACAAAAGACCCAGAAGCGTTTTGTTTTTATCCTGTTTTAACTGTGGTCAGACGAAAGTGAACAAGCTATACAGTGGAACTTGGGATTCGAAGAAAACTCGGAGACAGACAGGGCTGCCCACCCACCACCGTACGTTTTAGTTTAAGTAACCAACAAACAGAAAATTAGTAATCTTCCTGAAAAATTCGTAATTTTTTCCATGACTCGTCTTCTTCCAAGGGGTGTCAAGCTCACGTGCTCGTACTCGAGTATAATTATTAATTGTAACGTAAACAAAGGCATGATGAAAAAAGAGGTCTCGCAGGGCTTTTATCGAGTTTAGAAAAAAGATGTGGGGGACGGGGGAAGTTAGAATTACTGTTTTTTTAAAGTTTTAGGTAAGAGTTTTACGGCACTTGCAACACAATAAGGTCATATAAATGCCGAAGATTAGAGGTGTTACAAGAGAGCAACAAACACAAAAAAGGAGGGAAGATAAAGATGATAGATGTTTGATAGGAAAAAAGAAGCAATTGCTGCTTGCAAAAGAAACCTTTGGAACCACAGAATACATCACATCATGCCATGCACCCACCATAGCAATCTGTTTCTATTTTTCAAACAATGACCCATTGACTCATTGAGAGTCATCTGTCACTCACAACATAGAAAGGCCAGGAAATTTTTAACACCTTGTGCCTGTCAACCTTGTGTTTGCTTTACTCCTGGCTTTGGCAATTCTACTTCTCAAGTATAATTTTGTTTCTAAGTTAAGAGCAAAGTGGCACAGCACTGAGTGACTTTAACTACAAGGCAGGGGTCAATACAAAAGAGGGTGTTGGTGAAGACTGTCCGGGTCTGGTAGTTTTCCTCTCCTTATCTGTCCCCGTCGTTTTAAGCAAGAAAAATTCTGAAAATATGCAAAATGAGCCCAAAAATGTGAAATTATGCGATTCTGTTGATTTCAACAAAGAATGAAAAAAAAAAAAAAAAAAAATTATGCAAAAAACGATCAAATTTGGCTAAATAATGCGGGGTGCATAAAACAACGGGAACAGCCTTATGCACTGATAAGGTAAGTACTTGAAGAGGATTTGGGTAGCTCAATAAAAAAAAAAAAGGAATTTTCCTAAAATTAAATTAAAATCGTTACGATTCCACAAAATTCGTAATAATGGGCAGCCCTGCAAACACACACACACACTTACACAATAAAGAAACGAAACAAAACAAAAAGATAAAAAGATATGCTTCAGATCATGGTTTAAAAATCATTGAAGGTTTCTTTTGGTTCATAGCATTGCATCTGCATACAAATATGCCAATACAGACTATACAATATATATATATATATATATATAGCCCACAGTATATAACTTCACAAAAACTGATAATTTACCTACAACAAATATAATTTGTACATTATTTCATGTTGACTCAAAATTTGCAAAATTTATATGTGACTTCTCAACAGTAAAATCCAGTGTGGTCCAAGTTCTCCTCCCCTTTCTCTCTCTCTCTCTCTCTCTCTCTCTCTCTCACACACACACACGCGCGTGCACACACATACAGATACACAACCAATTCTAGAACATGTAATCAATAAACACCTATACAGTAACTTATAATACCGTACAACAAATTCTAAAACTTGTAACACGCACTCACACTCACACATGCTTTATTGCTTACCACCAGTACCGGACATCGTACACCTGACAGCCGCTCTTGAAATTCATAAAGAACCACTCTTCTCTCTCCCTCAAAACACAACCACTTGCCCACAGTCACTCCTTCACAAACACACACACTGGCTCCTTACAAATGTATTGCATAATAGAGATTTATAACAGACCAGTACATAAAAAACATAAAAAAGACAGATGCTGAAAAGAAGTAATTACTCATATGAGGGGGGGTTGGAGGTGGAGGAAGAGGGGGGGGGGGGGGAGTAGTTTGGGGAAGGGGGAAAGAGGTGGAGGTGGAGGAAGAAAGGTCTGTGGGTGGAGTGAGGAGGGAAAGAAGAGGTGGAGGAAGAACAGGGTGGGGGTGGATTGAGGGAGGGTGAAAAGAGGTGGAAGGAGGGGGGAAAGAGGTGGAGTGGGGAGGGAGAAACGAGGTGGAAGGAGGAGGAGGGGGGGGGGGGTGGAGTGGGGAGGGGGCAAAGAGGTGGATGGGGAGGAGGTTGAGTGGGGAGGGAGAAAAGAGGTGGAGGGGGCGGGGTTGCAGTGGGGAGGGGGCAGATGGAAAAGAGGTGACAATGGAAAGCAACATGGACCACTGCACCCGCAAAAACCTGGCCACTGGACGGTAGCGGGTGGACAGTCACGGCAACAAGTGTCCGGGGCTAGGAAGGCTACGATGGTCGGTCAGCTCTCCACAGCGGCAGGATTCCAATAATTCCAGGTCATAATTGTGAGTCGATAGTCGACGAGTTGACCTCTTGTTGATGAGCAGAATCTGATAAAGTGATAGTTCCGTGCAACACTCTATGATGGGTTGACCTCTAGCCTCTAGTTCCATGTAACACGTCATTGATGAGTCGACCTCTAGTTTCGCGTAACACGTCTGAGTAGACCTCTAGTTCGCTGTAACACGCCTATGAGTAGACCTCTAGTTCCGCGTAACGGGCCTATGAGCAGACCTCTAGTTTCACGTAACACATCTATAAGTAGACCTCTAGTTCCGTTTAACGCGCCTATGAGTAGACCTCTAGTTCCGTGATACACGTCTATGAGTAGACCTCTAGTTCCGTGTAACGGGCCTATGAGTAGAGCTCTAGTTCCGTGCAACACGTCTCTATAAGTCGACCTCTAGTTCCGTGTAACGCGCCTATGAGTAGACCTCTAGTTCCATGTAACGCACCTCTATAAGTTAACCTCTAGTTCCGTGCAACACGTCTATAAGAGCAGACCTCTAGTTCCGTGTACGGCAACACGTGTCTAAGAGTCGACCTCTAGATCTAGTTCCCTGTAACACATCTACCATAGACTAGGGAGTTCACCTCTACAGTACAACACCACTCACCTCATGGCACACTTCAGAAAGCAAGTTTCTTCCTCTTCTTTCTTCTGTCCATCAGCAGCCCTGAAATCCCTCACTATATATTCTTCTGTACCTGTTCTCCATTACCCTCCCACTCAGAACTTTTTACTTACACTCGCTGTTTACCTCTCTGTCTCAGCTACCCTTCGATGTTCTTTCTTCATCCATACACTCAGACTTTCTCTCTATCTCTGTCATGTCCTTTGATGTTTTTTCTTCTGCCTTAGACTCGGACTTTCTGTCCATCTCTGCCCTAACCTCCAATATCTTTTCCTTACACTCAGACTTTCTGTCTATCTCCGCCCTGCCCTTGACCAACTCATGTGCCGTCCTATCAACATACCCGCTAGACTCCCCACATGATCTGTTGGAACTCCCCTCACCAACCCTCTCACCCTCACCTGCTCTCTCACTCACTCCCTCACCCTTCCTCTGACCCTCCCCCTCACCCACTCTCTTACTCACCTCCTCACTCGCTGACTCACCCTTTCCCTTACCCACCCCCTTCCCCTCACCTGCACTGGCCACTTTCTTCTTCTTTTTCACTCCTTTCTTCCCAACTGCACCCACCTTCTTCTTCACTCCAACTTTCTTCTTTATCCCTTCTACCTCCCCTCCTTCAACAGCTTTCTTCACCATTTTCTTCTTCACAACTTTTTTCACCACTTTCTTCTTCTTCTTGGGCACATCTTTCCCCTCAGCTCTCTCCTCGTTTCTTCCACCAGATGCTGGATTACCTCCCTTTGACGTCTGCTGGGATTCCGATCTGCCATCTTCTAGTCGCACACCATCCGTAGGACCAGCGGCCTTGACAGTCCCCAACACACCTTCTTTGACCCTGGTCTCTTTCCTCACAGTCGCGCGTTTCTCTCCCGTCTCGCAGTCTGCCTTGCTCTTGCTAGATTGGTCTCCCTTCTCCGCCTCGGCACATTTACCAGCCCGCCCCCCGTCCCCACACTCGCCCGACTCGGCCTTCTTTCCCCCCTTGCCCGACTTGTCACTCTTTGACTTCTTCAGAGACTTGCCCCCCTTTGTCTTTGAGGTAGAGTCCACGGACGTATCCCTCTTTCCCTTCTCTGTATCCCTCTTTTTCCCTTCCACAGACTTATCCCTCTTTCTTCCTTCCATAGACGTATCCCTCTTTCTCTCCTTCACTGAGGTATCCCTCTTTCTCCCCTCCTCCTCCCTCTTTTTCCCTTCCACAGATGCATCCCTCTTTCTCCCCTCCAAAGATGAATCCCCCTTCATTTCTACGTCAGGCTTGCTTCCGTCCTGCCCTTCCTTCCCCTCCTCTTGCTCCCCCTCTCCCTCCTCCTTTTCCTCCCCCTTGCGCTTTCTCTTGCTCTTCTTCTTATGCTTTTTCTTCTTTTTCTTTTTCTTCTTCTCTTTCGACTGCGAGTCACGTTTTGATTTTTTGCCTGCCTCTGCGAGAGAATCCGTCTGCGCATTATCCCGTGCCTGTGGTGGGCTCGAGGTTGCGTCCCCAGCCCGCTGCGGTGGGCTATGCTTCCTCTTGCCGAGCCGCGAGTGCACACTGGGGCGCGGCGGGGCCGACTCTTGGCCCACACTTGGGCTGCCCTGGTTCGAAACCGCCCGACTGCCCAGATTCCGACTAGAGCCTGCTCTGTGTAGCTCATCACTCGACGCGCTCCTGCTTCTCTCTCTGCGGTGAGGACTGCCGTTGTCGTAGTCTCGTCGCCACGCCCCCCTGCCCCGCCCACGCCCATTTCCCCTCCCCCTGAAGCCGCGCCCCCTCCCCGGGAAACCCTGGCCACCACCACCACCACCATAGTACGCCTGATAGTCCTGCCAAGCCTGAGGGTCGGCGTAGTACATTGCCGAGTAGGCCTCCATGGGCCAGCCCTCCCCGTAGTACATTGCCAGGGTCTCCGGGTCGTACCACGGGTAGCCAAACTCTGCCACGTAGGACGCCCACGCCTCGTCGTAGTAGCCTGGTGGCCAGGCATTCCCGGCGCCACCCCCAGGCCCTCGGTACCTCCCCTCCCTACTGCTGCTACTGTGGCTGCTTCTACTCCTGCTGCGACTGCTTCTACTCCTGCTGCGACTGCCCCTACTCCTGTCACCTCGACTTCTGCTGCGACTTCGACTGGAGCTGCTACTGCGGCTGGATCTGTGGATGAGTGTCATGTGTCAAAATAAAACATTCTGGTAGACTCACCATCACAAATTCCAACCCCGCCATAGAAATTTGACGTTAAAAACATTTGAGTTTCACAGTTGTCAATCTTTTTCGAATGCAATTCTTTGAACATCTTGATAACGACTCCGAATTAACTTAAGGTTACGATAGAACAGATAGAACATTTGGTTTCTGACCTCATGGTCTTAGCAACTTAAAACGAATCGGTTAAAAATGTCAGATAGAACTTTTAACTCTGAGGTAGCGAAATGAGGCTAGTCTTGCCTCATCCACAAGTCATCTGCTCCCCCACCCCCCCTCCAGGGCAGTCCTACTGACTGAAGTGTCTTCATGCCATTTCCAAAGGGGGGGGATATTAATTATATTCTTATGCACAGTAGAATTGTAAATGGGCTGATTTATCAATGTCATGCTCACACTGCCGAAACAACATAAAAGGGGAACTGCGGCTTTTTCTTTTGCCCATCCTTACCATCATTAATTTCCTTTACTAAACTTCTTTCGTACGTTTGCCACTCTCTTGTGAACTGCTATTTCCAGGGTGCCTTCGTGGTCGAAGCAGACTGTGTGCTGTTGAGGCAAGAGAGGTGAGTAAGCCTGATTCCCCGTTTGTACTTCTCTGTTGACATCCACCCCGCGGCGTTCATATGACCTTAAGCAGTTGCGAGCATCGTAAAGACCTAACTAAAATTAAACAAGTCACCTGGAAGAAGAGCTGCGACTGCGAGAGTCCCTGGTGCGTGCCTGTCGGGCCAGACCCACGTTGAAGCGTCCACGCTTGCCCGGCGGCTTGTAGGGCTCCCTCAGCGTGCTGACCAGGGTGTTGCGCAGAAAGGTTTTGTTGACCACCGGCACCGGCTTCCTCTGCCTGTCAACACAGAACATGACACACAAGGTCAGACACACACAATACACACACACACATATTCATAGGCCAGACAAACACACATGTACACACCACATACACACATTCATAGGTCAGACAAGCACATGTACACACACACACACATCACTATTGTCAGACATACACAAGTACACACACAGACAGGCCAGACACACGAATGTAAATTGTAAATAGTATTCATGCTACCCATCTAAAGTGTACGACATTTCCAGTTACTGTTATTTCCAGAGGAATCCTTAAAAAAACCCAACCCATCCATGCAACAAAGGTAGGTTCATTCAGAGTCACTAAAACACAGCTACCATCAACAATACAGTCTAACAGTGTACATAGTCTTAAGCTACAAAAGGTAGCAGTACCATAATTACATTTTATAAAGCTATGTCTTCCACACAGATGACTCACCATCCCAGAGCTCCGTAAGTCTTGGCCCGCTCAGCTCCATGCTTGACTTCCTTCAGGATTTCAGTGATGGCTTGACTGAAAAGAAAACAGTAAATGGACAGTAGTTAAAAGCATTTCCAGGGTCATTTCTAGTCGCTTACTCTAAAATCATGCGTGCATCAGGTTTTAAAACAGTAGACGGTAAGAGGAAGAAGACTAGACAGTAAGACACTTCTGCTTCCTGCAAGCAATTAAAGACTAATCCCAAAATATTTAACTAGAGATAGTCTAAGATAGTAGTCACATAAATTATCACTGACTTTCAGATTGTTAATTAATGCTATAAAGTAGCCTACAAGCATCTGAAAGTAAAAATATATTTTCATTTTCATTTATTTTTCATGACAGAACAACAAATGATTTTCCTCTCTGGGCTACCAGGTGAAAATTTTCATTGGATTTGGATTTTCCTCACTTTCAGCTTTTTGGTAATTTTATTTACAGCAATGTCTAAAAAAATAGTATTTCTACTTCTAGACAGCAAGGGCCAGAAATAACTTATTAATAATATAACTTATATTTATCCGAACAAAAGATTGCTGAAAACGTGGTTAGGATCACATACTATACAGTTGTGAGACACGTATTATAAAATTATAACATGACAACACTGTACTTGCAGACATCAACAACACTCATTCATGTTATAGTTCTGAGGCAGATCATAGTATTTATAAGAGAGCAGTTGGTCGGTAAAAAGCTTGAATTGAGCATGATCTACAGAAGTTGTGAGACGAATCACAATACAGTGCTGTTGCTTGTTGGTAACCTGCCTACAGATTTGCTTCAACTTCAAGCAAAATTCTGAAATAATCATCACTAGTACTAGACTCTTGTCCAAACACTACTACTAATTTTACTAGTTAGTACTACCAACAATTGTAGACCATAGAAAACAACACCACTGGTACCAACCAAAAACATGACAACAGATCATGCCCACTAACTCTATAATATTAATAAGACATTAAGAACGGCAGGATCAGGTACCTTTCCAATGCTTGCTCCTCTTGAGTCTTTGACTGTGATGGTGGATCTTCAACCACTGGAGTTTCTGTCTCGGTCTCCCCATCCTTCCGGTCAGTGAAGCGATTGCGTCTGAATCGGTTATATCTTTCTTTCTTGACCAATTCATTCTTCTCCCTGGCCTTGGCTACCAGTGCAGTTGTCGCGTCAACCGCAGTTGCCGCTTCCACCACAGCCCTGTACTCCTCTCGGTTCTTCGAGGCTTGATAAAGTTTTTTTTCTTCGTCACCATTGAACTCCGGGCCCGCAGTGAGTGTGGGCCGACCTAAAGCGACCTCAGTCCCTGCTACGAGTTCATGTGAAACATTTGGAGAAATAAATGAACTATTACCACTACACACACCACTTGACGATGCTCCGGCATCCACAACCAGTGAATCCGCGGCACTACCCGCAACATTTTTCCGTTCTTTCACAGAAAACACATACTCTATTTTCGAATTCTTCACAACATTAGCTAATTGATTTGTACAAGGTTTGGAACTTATATTATCAAAGGCACCCTTCACTGGGTCACCATTTTCATCAAGCCAGTCAGCAGCTGGGATTTGACTAGATGCTGAGCCAGAAGCACCGACATTTGATTCCCCACCAGCCTTACTTTGGGGGGCACACATAAGAAGAGAAGTATCACTACCGCTATAGCTTTGACTTTTATTTAAGGAATATGCTAAACTATTAGTCCTGTCGCCTCCACCCGGGAACGAGCCGGCTGCTTCAGTTTGCCTCCCATCTGTATTGGTTTGTGAAGAGGCCTTATTTGTAACCAGTGCGTGAGAGTCAACATTTTGAATTGACTGATAAAATTCACTGATTTTCTGATCTGAAACACTGGAAGAGCTTGTGAAGCTTTCAGCAGCATTGCTTACATTTGGCCCCCCGCTCTCAGATACTGATGATACGGGTGGCACAATAGTGTTGGGAACTAACGACACTTTCTTCTTTTTCTTCTCAGTTTTCCATTGTTTTGCTAAAGCTAGAGCATCTGTCGATAAAAGCTTTGATTCTTCCACAGTGTTCTTTAACTTATTAGAAAACTCAAACTTTGGTACAAATGGAAGATTAACAAACGAATTATCACTAGAATTCGAAGGCAAGCCCTTCTGAGAATTAACACTGCCTGCCTTTTTATTGTTGGCTCTATCACATTCATCATCATCTGATATTTCTTCATAATAGTCATCTGTAGGGTTTGCTCCTAGATCTAGCCCTCCATCAAAGTTTGCATTATTATAATAAGCTTGCCTATCAAAATTAGATCTAGATCTATATTCCTCAAATGAAAAGGGGGATGGTCTCATCCCCGACTCATCATTGTACAAGCCTAATTCCTGACTGTGCTGAGGAGGAGGACCCCTCATGCGATGGAGCAAGTTAGGGGGAAGAGGAGGACCAGGACCCGGTGGTGGGGGAAAACGGCTGTGGTTGAATGGGTCAGGGTGGTTGAATGGGTCAGGGGGGCCGAAACGAACATAAGGGTCTTCTCTATGCCTAAACTCAGGGGGATAATCATCACTAGGAGGGGCATCAAAAAGAAAACGATGCTCTGGTGGTGGCGGAAGAGGGGGCATCATCGGCATAACAGGGGGAGCGTTATGACCATGATGATGGTATTGTTGATGGTGGTGCGGTTGAAAGGAGTCATCTAACAGTGGGTCTTCCGTAAAATCCACACCCCTATCACCAAAGTGATTATATTCCATTTTCTTAGTATTAACCGGAAATAGTTAACACACAAAACCAAATCATAGTCAATCTATAAGCACAAACACAACTACAAATTCACAGTTTCATTCATTCACTTTCACATGAAATTATTTTTATAGCTCTTCGGCCATTATTTTATTTGACCGGAAGAAGGAAGTCAGATCTGGAGATCTACAAAGCTATGACAGAGTATACACCAATTATTTATGGTACACACTCAATAGCAACACTTTCACTACACACACGCCATGGACCTTACAACATATTATAACCTCTTTGACAAACACGAAACATCTGACAGTACATTACAGGCAGACCTCTAAACTGCACAGTTACAAAAAAAAAATCTCCAAAAGAACATAGTCTAATATTATGACACCTTGATTGATGAAGTCACATATTGGCGACCAGTCAAAGCTAGAATTGATAATAAAATTCTAACACAGAATGTGCACACCCGCTCGAGGTGAAAGGGATAAAGTTCCCGATCCTCCAACTTTCCCAAGACTTAAAAAAAAATACAGAAGGATTGTCTTGGGAAGGTTGGAGGATCCTTCTGTATATTTATAATATTGTTAATCTAATTAAGTGTTGCCAAGAATAAGCTGGAGGAGTTCAAATGCCCAGCCAATGGTGCCATTGAATTTGAATTATTCAGGAACGTGCAGGGCATTGGTGATGAAGAAAAGATCTTTGACAAGACCCATCAGATCTTTGGAGATTCAGAAATGATGTCTGGAAACAGAGGTCTGAATAAGATAAGATAAGATAAGATACAAAACTTTATTGTCCAGATCCTGGCACATTGGTTTGCTGTTCCACCACGAGTACACACACACACACA